TGAATATTCGCTCATTTGCCTGAATGTGCCCCCACAATGGGCGCCCCCTGGGGATTCCGTTCATTCTCTTACACCCTACACACGGCATACCCCGAGATGCCCACAGTCTGGGCACAATGTCAACTGACGAACTGCCCTGTCTAAGATAACAGGTCTACACAAAATCCCAAGTTTAAAAAAAAAAAACAAAAAAACGAGATTTTCCAATTTTACCGAAAAGTATAAAGTGTGGTACATTCCCTAATCCAATACCTTTGAAATTTTAAACAACACCAAGAAAAAGAAGAGTTTACTAGGCTTTATAATAGATAACTGCTTTTGAAATAGGTCATGGAAGTGTATGTTTCCAAATTCATTTTGAAATAAATTGTAAGATCTGACCTTGCTTCACTGATAAATACCTTCACTTGCGTGTCTAAGCAAAATCATCTCCTAAACAGCTGCAGCATCATCCCAACAGAGTGAATCTCTTCATATCCTTGTCCAATCCATACTCAGGTTTCTTTGTTCCACCCCAAAAGTTTGTAAAAATGACTTATTTGAAAATAAGTAAGCCAAGTGATCTGCAGGTGTACAACTGCAGGATGAGAGCCCAGATCTGGGAGGCCTCTCAGCTCAGCTCTGCGAAGGAACCAGGGACTGTCAGACTTTGTGCTTCTGGTCTGGCATCACCTGCACTGGCCCTGGCACACAGTAGGTCCTCAGAAAACATTGGGGGAAATGAGTAAGTGGGGAAAGCCCTGGACTGGCGCTGGTGCCCAGCAGGTCAGGAATTGTGGGGTCTGAATCTGAATCTCCCCTGTACTCTGGATGTCACCAGGGCTTCAGCACACAGTGGGTCCTCAGGAAGAATGACTCTGGGGTGAACAGATGCACGGTGAGCATCCACAGCACTAGCTCTGGAGGCCCACCAAGTCAGAAACCAAGTGCCCTGGTTCTTTCCTGTGCCCAGTCATTGGCATACAGTAGGTCCTCACGAAGCTCCCATCCCCACCCCCGCAGCTGAATGCAAGTTCACCCAGCATTCACCCTAGAGTCGTCAAAGGTGAGAGACAATGCACAGTTGTTTCTTCCCAGGGCCGCAGACACCATCTAGGTCTCAGCACACACTAGGTCCTCACGAAATGCTGTGCTGGACTATTAAGCTGAACGCTCCCAGGCCCGGAGCCCAGGGTCATAACCACGCAGTCCAGCTCCTCTGGCCCACATTTCCCCGCCCCTGCCTCTGAACACAGTAGGTGCTCAGGAAATGCCAACTGGGTGGTTGAATGAGTGAAATGAGACCCCAGTTTCCAGGGCAGATTTCACTCAGGCGAGAGCCAGGCCCCCCCGCAAGAAGTCAGCGCCCCCTCCGATGAGTGAAGGAGATTTTCTTCTCTTCGGAAGCCCCTCACTTCGGCTTCCACGTGTAGCTCCTTACCGGGGTGTTTTTCTCACTTCCGTACCCGCGGGTCTGCGCGCGTCAACCCGACGGACAAACGCGAACACGGACGGGCACGTGGCGGCCCACAGTCACCTTTCCCCCCTTCCAGCCTGTCACCGCCCTCGGTGATGCGGATTCTCCAGGCCCTCCCGACGCGGGTGCCGCGGGCTCCTGCACTTCCGACCCGGTGTGCTGGGCCGGGCCGGGCGCGCCTTCCCCGCCGCTCTTGAGCCGGCTGGGAGGGCCAGAGGAGCCGCCCCGCCCGGAGCCGACCCAGGACCCTGCGCGCAGCTGCGAGGCTCGTCGTCAGAGGAGGGTCCTGGCACCCCTCAGCCAAGCCGAGCCGAGCGGACACCGGCGAGCGCGGGAGGACAGCCCTGTCCCCAGAGGCGCGCGCGAAGGTGGCCCAGGGAGGGCCGAGGCCACCGCCGGCGGCCACTTGTCAGGAGGCCTCAGGGCAACACCTGCGCCCCCAGCCCCCAGGCGGGCACCGGACACCCGCTCCTCAATTCCGGCCGACGGTGGAGTGACTCCAGCCGCCTCGCCCCGGCTTCCCAGGGCCGGGGCCATTGGATCGTGTCCCGCGTCCTTGCGTGGCTCGTGCTGGTGCGCGCTCGCCGACCCCACCGCCTCGCCTGGCCCGCCCGCGCGGTCTCAGCGTCTGCACCCGAGCGCTGCCGCCCGGACCCGGGCGGGCGGAGGAGCGTGGGCGCCCTCCTGGCGGCCGCGTAGACGGCGCCTGCCGCCCGACCGCCCACCCGCGAAGGGAGCAGATTTGGCTGCGGTGCCCGGCGCGCGGTTCCGGGAGGCCGGGGCGCGCGGGTGGCACCAGTCGGTCGGGCGGGCTGTGCGCTCGGTGTCCCACGCCGGGAGATAGTGAGTGCAGGTGCTGTGCGGGGGGGGGGGGGGGGGGGGGGAGGCAGGTCAGCGCCCTCGCCGAGACAAGCAGGGGTTGCGCGCTGCACGGGTCGACCAGCTCTCCGCGGGGTCCGCTCCTCCTCCCGCGGCCCCCGGGTCCCCACGCACGGGACTCCCGCAGCCCACCCGGGGCCACCAGCCCGCCGAGAGCCCGTAACTCCGCAGCGCGCCGGGAGCCCATGATGCCCACCCCAAATCGCCCGGAGAACCCCGCAGCCCGCGGGACGATGCCCAGCGCGGAGCGCACATCTGCCGGCCGAGTCTCCCGGGGCAGGCAGCGGCTGTCCCGGGCCCGGGGCTGCATCTCCGTGGGCCCGACTGCCGCGTCCCGCTCCGGGGGCGAGGGAGCGCCCCTGTGGTGCCCAGGGGATGTGAGGGACGACCGGGGTCCAGCCTCACTCCTGCCGCTGCCATGCCCGGAGGTCGGAGGTGCCGCCACTGTTCACCCCAAGTCTACGGCAGGAGCCGCGGGGTCGGGGGCCGCATATCAAGCGGGGTCTGTGACCCCGGGGTCGGGCCGGAGGCTCGGGGGCGAGTGCTGCGGGTGGGGAGCGGCGCCTGAGCTGGGGCAGGGGCCGCGAGCCGCGAGCTTGGGCATCTGGAGCGGGAACCGGAACAACAGCCGCGGTTGGGGGGGTCGGGGGGAGGGCGAGTCGCGAACCCGGAGCCGCTGGCGGGGCCGAGAGCCGGGGGCTGGGGGGGGTGGCGGTCGCGGGGGGGCCGGGGCGGGACCCGCGAGTTGCGAGCTTCGGGCCGAAGCCCGCTCAAGGGCCGGGGCCGCGGGCCGCGAACCGGGGCCGACGCCGTGGGCTGAAGCCGGATCCCGGGATCCCGGAGCCGCAAGAAGCGGGTCTCTGGCTGGGTCCGGCCGGAGCCTCTCTGGGGGAGGGCCGCGGCGGGGGACGGGCAGGCAGCGCCCCTCGCGCGGAGAGGCCCCCGCCCGGACGGCCGAGGCTGGACGGCCCCGCAGCGGGGTCCGGGTCCCTCTCCGCGCCGCCCCCCGCGCACGAGGTCGACCAGAGGCCCCGGCGCGCTCCGGGGCGGCGGGAAAGGGGTCGCGTGGGGGTGGGGTCGGTGTTCAGGCCGCAGCTCCACCGGCCTGCGGGGACCTGCGGCTCGGCCCCAATCCTGGGCGCCGAGGTTTTTTTGGCTCCAAATCGGCACTTTGTGCCTCCAGGATATCGGTGGCTCCTTGCTTTGGGCGAAACCCCGCGCGTTCCCTCGCCCGCCTCTGCGTTCTCGGACGTTTTCGCGGCTCCGGTGTTTGCCATCGCGTTTCAAGGCGCCGCACTACGCGCTGCGATGCCCTCACCTCAAGGCACAAACTAAGTCGCTGTTATATGCTGTTTTCCAGTGGGTGCCGCCTCTACATAAGTTGGCGTGAGTTTTTGTGTTGCGCTACGTGGGAAACAAATCCTCAGCAAGGCTGGTAGTGCCTCTGGGAGGCCACAGGATCTGCAATGGGCACCTCTGTCTTGAAGAATTTGGCGGGCACTGCTGAGCAGGGTGCTGCAGGACTCAGTTTCCTGCAAGCTCCCCAGGACCTGATGCAGGCAGTTTGTTGTGCCTCATCCATGCTGCAGGCACTGTACCCATAAACGCACCCCACACCTACTGCCTGGTGAGTGGGTAGGTGGCAGTCTTATTTGAAATTAAAATAAGACCTGTTAGCCCCCCACCTAGTAGGGTGTGAGTTCTACGGCCTGTGCCATCCCCCTCCTGTGAGGATACACTGTTAGATGTGGAACCCTGTATCTACATGGTATGCTCACATACAAAGTGGATGTGTGGAAAAAGGTTCTCTAGGCCCAGGGCTGCTATTGGGTCAGGCCTTGCACCAATACACGTGCTGGTGGCTGCTCCCTGGGCTGTGAATGTGAAGCACCAAAGCTAGGAGGATGCAGCGAGTGGCTCTGGGTGACCTGATGGGTGCATGTTTTCTGTAGAGGTGCCTCCATGTGTTCCAGGGCTCCTAGCTCCTGCCTGTGTCCTCTGCTGTGTGGCTCAGTGCTTCCCCTTTGTATGTTCCTGTTTGCTTATCTACAGGGCCTGACTCCCCCATGTGCTTTGCTGTTCTCATGCCCCATTGGAAGCAACACCATGGTGTGGGGCTTACCCTTGTCTGTGTCCCTATGTCCCCCCTGCAGTGGTGCTGGCCTCAGATCAAGTTGGTGTTGATTGGTGTGCCTAAGATTACCCACTTCAGTCATGTGGTCCCTTGGGGAGTTTGTCCTCACCCCCTGGGTGGTCAGTCATGCAGTGTCAATGTCATGAGCTGAACCTGTGGTTATAGATACAGCCCCATGGAGTTAAACCCTCAGGGCCAGTGGCCTTTGCTATTGCTTGATGTGTTGCTCTGTTCTTCCCTGATCTCCACCAGGCACCTGTCCTTTGGCTTACACTGTGCCAAGGACTTGGCTCCCTCCCAGGACCTTACCCACCCTGGGAGGTAGTGAAGGGCACTTGTTTTCCTACTGCTGATACATGCTAAGCATTCTGGGGTGTGGGACCCCAAGTGAGTCTGTGCTTTTGGGATCAGTCTTCCTGGCTTTGGGGCCTGTGGGTATACCCATGGATACCACCTAGTTCCCTCATTGGGGTGTCCTGTTGCCTGGAGCTTGCACTTTGGAAGAAGCCAATGCTTTGAGCTATCTGGGCCCCAGGGGGCTGTTTTGGGGCCAGAAGGGGCCTTTGTGTGGTGTGGTGCTGGTGGAGATGCCCAGAGAAAGCAGGTGCCTAGGCTGTCAGCCCCAGTGTGCAAAAGGGGCCTGGTGTTGGTGGGGACTCTAGGAGTGCCTGTTCCTGGGCAGTACCCAGGCCACCCCAGCCCCATGGGGAGCTTTTATAGCATTGTGGTTGGGCCAACAAAAGTGGTAATTGGGGACCCATGGGGGGCTGGGGTTGGCTGTCCCTGCATTGCCTGCAGGTGTCAGAGACCCAGACTTGTTCTGAGTGGGTGCCAGAAGCACCCATCTCTCACATAGGGCTGCTTGCCCAGGGGTGGGTGCCCACTGGGTCCTGTGTGACTGGTTCTGGAGTGGAGCCCCCAAGTCAGACCTTATAGTGGTAGTACCTGTGGCTGGCTGTGGATTGGTGCCCCTGGTGGGCAGGTGGAGACCCAGCTCATAGTGGCTGAGTGTTCTTGACTGGGGTTGGTACCCCCATCACTGAGATTTGCAGCCTTCCTGAGTGTGGGTGGTCAGTGGGGGTGCCAGAGCTGCCAAAGGGTGTTGTGCAGGCAGTTGGCTGTGTGCTGAGCCCCGCCTATGTGCATGGGTCACCGCTGCCATCAGAAATAGTGGGACCTGCTTGGTATATGGGGAGAGAAAGCCCTGAGCCCCTGGATGGCTGTTTTCCTCCCTAATGCAGTGCCCACTGCTTGAGTTCTATGTACAGGGTGCCTGGAGTGGCATCTTCTCCACCATGGCTGTGAGTGCTGCAGCTTGGACAGGGGGATTCCAGCTCTCAATACAGTGTGGGGCATGATAGGCAATCCTCAGAGCTGCAGGGGCCAGTTTCAGGCTCCAGCCACCTGCATAGGCTGGCCATCCATGGGGGTGGTGGTGGGAGCCTTGCTGTGCCTGTGGGGCTGGTACTGTAGCAGTGTCCAGGAGCCCTGTGGGGGCATGGAAGGCTGATACCTGGGCTGACCACCTGCCCAGCTCAGTGGCTCTTCCCCTGCTGCTGTGTTCCCCAGGGTGCTCTTCCCCCATTGGATTGCCCCTGGAGTGACCATCTGGAAGGGTCTTTAAGCTTTAGCCCCATTACAATGTGATGGGGTGCCCTGCCCAGGAGGAGAAGGGGGTCCTTGTGCCCTGAGGGCTGTGGCCTGGTCTTTGTCAGCGCTGTGCTGTGAGAGGTGGTGGCTCCTCTCCAAGAGTGGGACCCCTATATGTTCAATTGTCTGCATTTATGCCCTTGGGGGCTTCTGCAGGCCCTTGTGTCTCCTGTGGTACTTTATGAGGTACCATTTTTACTCACTATGAATACCCCTAGTCCCAATCAACTGTGGGGGCTGGGATGGCTCTGATATGCCTATGTTCTCCCCCAGGGGCTGCCTCTACATCATCAATGGGGTGAGACTGTGCTGGTGCAGATGGGCTTGCAGGCCAGCCTGCTGGTGGCTCTGGGAGGCTGCCAGTGCTGTGATGGTCACTTTGGTCTTGGTGCAGTGCTTGGAGTGGGTGCTTATAGGGCAGTACTCCAAGTTTCCTGCAGTTCCCCAAGACCTGGTGCAGGCACAGTGGCTTGTGCCTCATCTAGGCCACAGATATGGTTCCCACCATATGTCCCACACCTGGAGGCCTGGTGAGTGGGGTTGGTGGCCTTGTTGAGACTAAAATGAGCCCTTGGCTTTTTCCATGAATGGGGCCAAGGGCCTGCCAGAGCCCCTAGCCTGGTGGGGTCTGAGCTCTCTGGCTTGTACCCACCCCTCCTGAGAGGGTGCAGTGTTGAGGGTGGTGGGGCCTGTGCCCCCCACAGGGTGTGCTTGATCGCAAATGCATGTAAAGAGCTACCCTTCCCTGACTTCCTGAGCCCAGAGCTCTGGTGGAGTCAGGCCTTGCACCAAGCCCATGCTGGGGGCTGTTCCCTGGGCTATGGCTCTGGGGCACCAGGGCTGGGAGGTAGGGGGAGCCTGGGGTGTCTGGTGTGCAGGTGTTCTGTGGAGGGGTCTTCATGGCTTTTAGCTCCTGCCTGTGGCCTCTGCTGTGGGCCATCTCCAGTGGCTCAGGGTCTGTTCCTCTCATGTGTTCCTGATTATGGGCTCTGACCCCTGGTGTTCCTCATGGTCATAATGCCCTAGTGGAAGCAGCAGTAGGGAGTTGGGGTGCTGCCTGTGTCTGGGAGGGTCTTTGTGTTCAGCCTGTTAGTGTGGTGGGGGTGCCCCACCCAGGGTGGGGGGCCCATGGCCTGGTCTTTGCATCAGTGCTGGGCTGGGTTGTTTGTGTCCCTGCAGTGCTCTGGACCTGCCTCCAATGGCTGAGATTGATGGGGGGACACGCTCACACTGCTACCCTGACTGGGTTTTTCATCCGTAGAGATTCCTAATCCAGGGGCAGCTTTGCTCAGTGTGAAGGGAGCCCGAGTCTGACTTGGCATTTGAAGACGGAGCCCAGGGCAACAAGGCTCCACCCTGGTGGGGCGACTGCCTGCCTTCAGCCAGTGCTTCACAGTCCAGGGGCGCTACTGGCCAGGGATGGCCTCATCCCCTGCCCTGCAAGTGCGGGGTGTCAGCTGCTGATGGCACAGGGTGGGGGGTGTTAAGCAGCTTCTCTCCGTATCCCTGAAGACGCCCCTTAGGGGCGAGGTGTGTGCACGGCCTGAGTCCGGGGCGCAGGTGGCCTGGTCTGGGTTCCAGACGGGGCCGCCTGGGGCTCCTCCTCCTCACTGGGTGCCAGTCGGGAGGAGAGGCTGCAGTTGCTGCTGTGCCCTGCCGAGGTCGACCAGTTGGCCGGCCTGGGCCGAGCAGCCTATGGTCCAGTCGACCAGATGGCCCGTTCCTGCCCGCCACCAGGTGACACTGCAAGATGGGTGGAATAGGATGGGACCTGACTGGAGGGGGGGTATCAAAGGGGGGACGGAGATACGGCACCCCATTCGAATTTGTGTCCTTTCCCTTTCCCCTTTTTATTCGGGTGCAGTCACCCCAGGCGCGATGGGGAGATAACCCCCCATTTCAGACCTATATGTCCTCGTTTCGCTAGAAAATCAGGAAAAGTTTCACCATTTATTTGGGGTTTCTTCCATGAATCCCATGTTCTCAGCAGAGAGATGCTCTATTTCCATCTCCAGTCACAGCTGCTGCGCTGAGAGCAAAAATTAGAAAAATAGACTCATCCTCGCAGTTTTTCCCATAACCCTCGTGGGCTTGGGACAGGGGCAGGCCAAAATAAGGCATGTGCAGTGCAATAAGCCGAGTTCAGGATTCTACAAATGGAAAATCAGCTTCAAATGTCCATTACACACACACACAAACACACTGTTCATGAGCTAAGCAGGCCGCAGCCAAGGCTTCCAGAAAGCTTGGGAAAGCAGCAGAGAGGGCACATTCCCTCACAGAGCCGGAAAGCAAGAAAATGACTATTTTTAACTCAGTCCAGTCATTGGGAGTTAGAAACAGGATGGTGTGACATAAAAAACACGGGGCATCCAACTTGAGGAAGCTGCCAAGGCTGGTTCAACTACTAGATCGTTTGTAGTCAGAGAAACAAAGGATTCAACATTGACATGAGGAGTAGAAACAATTTTTTTTCAAACCAAAGACCTAATAATGGGAAACACATCGCAAA